TCAACTTGACACTGATGCAGAGGAAATTGGGAGCCTTTTTATTTCTTTACATGGGGAGGAAATTAAATAAATAAATCAGATTTTGGACTGCGATAGTAACAATTTAAATCAGACAAAACTTGAGTTGCCCTTAAGTCAAATATTATTCATTTTTTGGCTGTTAGATAATGAACACAATTGTTAATGCTGGTTTTATATCCATAATAAATATCAGAATGAATGTATGCACTTCTGTGATCCTGCCCTGTTCTTGGTGAGTTAAACAAGTGCAAACAGCAGGTGGTCAGTTGACTTGACAGTGAATGATACAAACCCTTATGAATTACAACACTGTACACTGGAAGCATTGTGCATGCAATGGTCAGGAATGCAGTTGATGGTGAAAAGACAAATGAGAAAACAATGTGTGGTTGTGAACTTGTCAAAGACTCTTGACTGCCTTGCCTTAAAGTGACAGGTCCCTGAAGAGGCAAAAGAATATGAGAGGAATGTTTTGAGTGATATGAAAACAACCAGTTTCCTTCACAACCTTTGACTGGGCCTCTACAGGGTCTACCTTGAGACAACCTGACCACTGTGCATCAAAAATAAAGACTGTAATCACAAAAACAAGAATCCACAACTGTAACCACTGAGCCAGCACTGGCAGTTGGAGATAGAGAGATCCTCTGTGTGTGCTACATAATCCCCACACAGCTGGACTGAAACCTCTGTATGGGGACACAACTCGGGGTCAACCATAGAGACAGTTGTGGCAGTATTGTGTAACTGATGTTAAAAGCCACACGGAAATACATTCACAGCGAGTCACGTTGAGTATGGTGGAAGGAATCAATCGATTCATACAGGACAACACTACGGTTCACACACATTGATGTAACATAAATGTATCAACACGTAATACTTCACCTTTGTGTTATGGTTAAACTAATGTGTACTATGTTTTAATGTGAATCAAAGTCATGTCTCCAGTCATTCAAGACAAGTATTAATCCAATTTGTTCCTGCCAACTTGAAACTAAAAGCCTGCAGAGAGATCTGAGACAGGATCTGGGTAATGAAGTCTTGAGCAGACCTTTTTTAACCCTTGTATGGTGTTCGGGTCTGTGGGACCCATTTTCATTATTTATCAAAAAAATAATGATATCATAAATTATTTTTTCACAGTCACACTGTGTGTGTGCGTGTGTTTGTGCGTGTGCGTGTGTTTGCGCGTATGTATGTGTGTGCGTATGTATGTGTGTGAGACGTTTGTGTTTCGGCCCCTGCCATTCCCACACAAAGTTGCAACATTGTTGATAAATTCAAGTACTGACACCTGTCTGCTCTCATATTCCCGCATTATGTCTTGCGGGAACCAATCTTAATTTTTTTCACACTATCCCAGCTGCAAATTTGGGGGGGGGGGGACAGAATAAATAAAGCTTCGCCAGTTTGGGTCCTTATCACCACTGATCAAGATGGCCAAAATATTCTCTGCTCAGAGGGCCTTACAAATGATTTTGGAAGAGAGAGAACCATTTGATGATGATGAAGAGGAAGAGGTTTCAGAATGTGAGGATCACATTTCTGAGAATTCTGAGTCTGACAGTGACTTTGAAGAAGAGAATGAGATTGAGCATCAGCTAGTTAAAAAAAATATATATATATTGCTTGTAATTGAGATGAAGTAAACATCTGTTGAGTATTTTAACATAAAATAGTTTGATTGTGTTGAATTGAAACCCAAAAAGGCTGAGTAACACAAATATGTGTCCTTAGGCAAGACACTTCACCTGAAATTGCTGCTGTGAGTATTGTTCACAGTAGATGACCAATGTAGTGGGGCAAAAAAGTATTTAGTCAGCCACCAATTGTGCAAGTTCTCCCACTTAAAAAGATGAGAGGCCTGTAATTTTATATACCTCAACTATGAGAGACAAAATGAGAAATAAAAAAAAATCCAGAAAATCACATTGTCTGATTTTTAAAGAATTTATTTGCAAATTATGGTGGAAAATAAGTATTTGGTCACCTACAAACAAACAAGATTTCTGGCTCTCACAGACCTGTAACTTCTTCTTTAAGAGCCTCCTCTGTCCTCCACTTGTTAACTGTATTAATGGCACCTGTTTGAACTCGTTATCAGTATAAAAGACACCTGTCCACAACCTCAAACAGTCACACTCCAAACTCCACTATGGCCAAGACCAAAGAGCTGTCAAAGGACACCAGAAACAAAATTGTAGACCTGCACCAGGCTGGGAAGACTGAATCTGCAATAGGTAAGCAGCTTGGTGTGAAGAAATTAACTGTGGGAGCAATAATTAGAAAATGGAAGACAAACAAGACTACTGATAATCTCCCTCGATCTGGGGCTCCACGCAAGATCTCACCCCGTGGGGTCAAAATGATCACAAGAACGGTGAGCAAAAATCCCAGAACCACACGGGGGGACTTAGTCAATGACCTGCAGAGAGCTGGGACCAAAGTAACAAAGGCTACCATCAGTAACACACTACGCCGCCAGGGACTCAAATCCTGCAGTGCCAGACGTGTCCCCCTGCTTAAGCCAGTACGTGTCCAGGCTCGTCTGGTTGATATATCGAGTTTACACGATACATCGTGGATTGCACTACATGCGATGTCGTGAATGACCACATCGTGAACATCGAGTATTATGTTGTCAAATCAGTTTCCTGCCGCGGCCAAAATGAGCTTTCCT